AGGGGGCCAAATGCTTTTGCAAGCCACTGTATTCAGAGGGAGAAGTTAGAACAATTTATTAAGTGCAGAGTTTCCAAAACCTTAGTAAGACTAAGCAAAAAAAACACTTGACAAAGTCTTGGCTTCTGTTTTGATTTATTCTCTTCTTGTATTTTTGCTTATGTAGTGTTATTGTCTGAGTGGTGACACCTGTTGTTCAGAAGAACACTGCAGCTTTCTGCACCTTAATGGTGGATGTAAATACAAGTGAAACAAGCAAAGCGGACATTGCAGAGGGAATACTGGGGCCTTTATAGAGAGGAGAGCTTGGTCATTGAGAAGGGGGTCAGATTAAAGATCAAAAAAGAGGAAGAGGTGAATGGGGAGAGGGAGGTCTGGGCGTCTCTCCTTAGACATCTGCCCCTGAGACTTAAACCCATGTAAGCGGCAGAAAATGGAAGGATGGATGGAAGAAATTACGTACATTTTATGTGTAAGGATAGGCAAGTAATTTGTGTCAAGAGGCAATGCAGGATAGTTCCCCAGATCCTGGGGAGCTATCCTGGCTGTAATTAGCTGTAACGAGATGTAGTGGGCCAATAATGGCTTGATAAACACAGCTGATAATAGTTAGCAGTGAAAATATATTAAATCACATATTTGTAATATCTATAAATTATATGTGCATTTTTTCCATGTGCATATAATTTATTTACACACACACATTGAATTTCCAGTGTAATTCATACGAAAACACACAAACACATACAGAAACCATGCATATGCCCCAACATATTTACTATGTGATGCTGAATCACACTTAAAAGCTTTACAGTAACAAAAACACAGTGTGTGTGTGTGTTCCTGTCTAGCTATCTTTGTGAGGACCGAAATCTGCATTCTACTATACTTGTGAGAACCAACAGTCACTTGTGAGGACACACAAACCAATCCTCACAAATTTGAAGCATTTAAAGGCTCAAAATGTGGTTTTAGTGTCAGAGTTACAATTAGGTTATGGTTAGACATCTTTAATGGTTAGGGTAAGGGGCTAGGGAAAGCATTATGTCAATGAAGGTCTTCACTAAGATAGCTGAACGGGCGTGTGTGTGTGTGTGTGTGTGTGTATTGCAAGGTTTTATGTTGTGTGATCTGATGTTAATGTTGACTCTGGTATCTATTTTTTGCAAACAAATTTCAATATTGTATAATTTCACCTTCCTCCTCATCTTCCTCATGCTCGTTGGGAATGCTGTCCCTCCTCCTGTACGTGTCGATGGTTTGTGCTAGCAACAGCACCCTCCTGTGACTGGGAGCTGGTACTACTGTTGATGGTGCAGCAGCAGCAACCTCAAAAGGTAATGTGTCCTTAATTTGACACATTTTGCTGCATTAATTTTTCACTTTTATGCCAAATTTTTTAAGCCAAATTACAAGTTATGCCCTAATTTTGGTAGGTTAGCTATTCCTGGGAAGGTTCACCACTGTTCCACGTTTTCTCCAATTGTGGATAGTGGCTCTCACATGGTTTATTAGAGTCTTTGTTGGTTTGTTGGAGTCCCAGAGCACAACCCTTTCCCGTCTGATAGATTTCAATAACTTTGTTTCTCAGCTGTTTCTTTAGATTTGATGTGGCTAATTCAGCTGAGCTCAGCTTTCCAAAAACATGTAGTTAATGACATAATTTACAAAGGGGAATTACATACATTTGAATAGCTGTTCTGCTGTAATATATACAATCATCATTAAAAACTGTGCATTTATTCCAGTTTCTTTGTCTATTAAAATTGTGGCAGATATGAAAAAATCCGTACGGGGGCTTTTTCACAGCATTCACATTAGTGGGATTTTAATATGTGTGGAATAAAACTGAACTGACTGTAAAGGTTTCATGAAATACGATAAATTGTTTTGTTTAGTCCACTTTAATCTATTTAAATCTACTATGGTAATATGGTAATTTTTTCTAATGTCATCATGGGTCTAACCTGCCATAATCCAGGTTAGCTATTCTATTACTTTCTGTTTTATTCTATCTGAACCTCAAGGTGCCTGTTTCATTTGCTCCTGTTTTTTCTTACTTCTCTTTATTATTATTGTAGAGTGTTTATTTTAAATAGCTCTGTCTCATACATGTGGGTGAGAGAGTTTTTTTCCTTCTGTTATTTTCAGTGAAGAATGGGATCGAGGTGAAGCAGCTACACACTGCTTTGTTTACTCCAGGGATCAGCTGATCGCCCTGGTGACACTGTTTTACATTAACTGCTCAGATTCTTTTATATAGTCCACTTTCTGCGAGAAAGTGGACTATAGATGAGGAGAATACCGGACAATAGCTCTCACCTACTCCATGACATTCTGGCCGGACACAGGCCAGTACAACGGGAGACTAAGATTACCCAAATACACCACTAACTACACAGGAAACTGGCTAGCTCGCTGTACGATTCCTCCATCAAAGTCACAAGTACACACCCTAAACATCAAGTCAATATGATAAGAAGGGCAGCAAAATGTCACATATTTCTTTTTAATTTGTCTAATATACTGGGATATTTATAAGATCTATTTGTATTTATTAGACCCTTTTTTACTATATTTTGTAACTTTGTAACATGTTATATTATTGAATTGAGTTTAGTTAGTTCCTGTTCTTGCTGTCTTGGATCAACTGTGACCATAATTTCCTCCCCGACTGATGAAGTATTCTGATTCTGATTTTGAGCCTAATCTAACCTAATGACCAGAGCTGTACTGCATGTACTGCACTACAGTGCACTACATTATATGCACTCTGGTGTAGTACATGTAGTCTAGTTTAATATTGGAAGCTGTGAATCATTTTATGTGCATCAGAATGATTCTTACTTTTTGTTGTTGTTGTTTTTAAGAAGAAGAAGAAGAAAACCCAACTTGTATTTCAGCCATATTCAGTCAAATGATATCTATTGCAATATTTAATAATCTAATGTGGTTTAATTAACTTTAAAGGTAATCTTTGGTTCACTTATGCAGTTTAGTAGTTCAGGTTGTTAAGGGTGCTCTGGGTTACCTCTGTGTTTCTGTGGTTTGGTCCAGGAGAAGGTGGAATCCTACTGAGCTGTAACAGAGCCCCCTCCAGCTTGTGGCTATGTATTGTGTGTGTGTGTGTGTGTGTGTGTGTGTGTGTGTATATCAGGGAAATGCAGTGTGGGGGGTACAGGACGATTGTGAGAGAGTTTAAAAGAAGGAAAGTCAAGGAAGATTGTGTGCAGGTCATGTTGGCAAAAGTTACGTTGGAAACAGGAATATAACAGGAAAATGAATGGATGAGGACAATCAGCAGACACAGTTGGCGGACAATAAGCAGCAGCAGAAGGGGCCAAAGTAAGAGTCATCAGATGGATGAATAATAGACAAGACAGTGGAGATGGGAAAGAAGAGAGTATGAGGAAGAGAGAAAGAAACAAAGAATGAACAGTTAATGAACTTCAGTGTAACAAAGTAAAATAAACTATGCAGTGAATAGATAAGAGTGAGAGAGAGAGCAGAACAATGAAGCAGGGTGATATGGTGAACACACTGAAACGTATTTGATCCGTCTGTTCAGCAAGATAAAATATGAAAAATAGCACACTTACAAAAATGATCTAAATATATAGAACATGACGTTCGATATGTTTCTTACTGTGAACAAAGCCCAGAAGGAAAAGAGTATCCACACTAGTCTTGAGCCCTTTAGCTGGAGGACCATGTAAGGACACAAATCTCCACATTAGCTGTTTTTCAACCTGCCAGCTCCTCAGGCATCGATAGCCCAGTTATTCAAATGATGCATTCATACCTTGTGAATAAGCATTATGTGAGCTGTCTCTGCACATCTAGCAGTGGAAACAAGTCTGAAGGGACTATTTCCTACTGTGGAATATATCCCAACATGATCCCAAATGACTCTGAGTCAACTCTGCTATCAGTCAGCAGGGAGGACATGGTGCACATAACATCTCCCAGTGCCACCCACCAGCACCAAATTGGTCAACCTGGGGGAAAAGCCCTTTCCTCTGATAGTCTGTCACATTATCCTGCTTGTGATCACTGTATATAAGTACAGACGACATAATTACAATTTGGAAAAGTCGGACAGAAACCCTGACGTATGCTGCCAGCAGAGGTCCATGACAGGAAAACATATTTGCTAGTGTTATTTTAGCTTTCATGGGATTTGTTGACAGTATAAAAACATAAAGTAGCACCAGTATCTGCTGTGTAATACCTACCTGGAGAAAGAATTACAGTTGACATTATAATCCCTCAAAAAGAGTAGTGTTTCATAATGAAGCAGTTTAGCTGTGTGAAAAGAGATCGACACAAAGAGCTCTATCAGCTGTCATAAACAGTGGGAAGCATACACTGAAGGACAGTGTAGTACTACCAAGGGACTCTTCAGTCACCTCAGTGCAGAATATTAATACAATGATTTTTCAATTCATTGAATTCAGTTCAATGAATCAGTGATTACTTTTGTGGTTCAGCACAGTAAATCTAGTCACTCAATCTCAGGGCACCAGACACTAGCGCCGCAGCGACCTCTGCAGTACAGATGGAGGACATACAAATTTAGGGAACTTCCTCTACAATCACATACTTGCAAAGCAGAAAGGAGCGTCATGTGTTACATGTGCCACGGACAGCGTTTGTGATTATGAACAGTCTCAGAGCAGCGAGACTGCAAAACTAAGCTTGCATTAAAAAGAATGGATGGAATGGGAATGTGATCAATCGTGTGCTTTAGGATGATTTAACTCATTATTTTAAATGACAACATCATGGCTTTTTTATTATTGCTTATGTTGGAGTAATCTTCTCTGAGTGTTGTAGTTAACTCAGTGTACGTGTGTATATGTAAGTCTGAGATCAAACATGTGATATTTTCACACACTATGCATATTGTTGCTTTAATCAATCAGGATCATGCTGTCACTCAAGTACCCCCCTCCCCTCTCTGCATCTTTTCCCCTCAGTATCCCCCTCCACCCCCTTACCTTTTCGAACGTTTCCGTCTGTTGTGCGCTGGAACTCCCCTGCGCTCAGCAGGAAGCACGCCCGGTCGTGCGGGTAGCGCTCACGGCTGGTGGTGGAGCCTAGCCCACCGGTAGCCGGGCTACGCTCATCTCCCAGGACCTGGTCGATGGTAGGGCAGTCCTCATTGGCCAGAGCCGCAGCGTTAGCTGCTGCATCACCGTTCTGCTTGGAGTCTGGTAAAAGAGGGAAGGAGAAGGCAGTTAAAAGATTATAGGAGTGACCATTATGGTAAATGGCCTGTATTTGTAAAGCGCTTTAATAGTCCCAAAGGACCCCAAAGCACTTTACACATCCAGTCATCCACACATTCACACACTGGTGATGGCAGCTACATTGTAGCCACAGCCGCCCTGGGGCGCACTGACACTGCCGGACACTGGTGCCACCGGGCCCTCTGACCACCACCAGTAGGCAACGGGTGAAGTGTCTTGCCCAAGGACACAACGACCGAGACTGTCCAAGCCGGGGCTCGAACCGGCAACCTTCCAATTACAAGGCGAACTCCCAACTCTTGAACCACGATCGCCCCATTGTTAAAGCTGTGTGTCGTGATGAATCAAAACGTTTAATCTTTTAACAACATTTCTTATCTCTTCTATGGGGTCACGTGCTGTGAATCAAGCTCCTTCTGCTTCAGCTGCTGAGTCCAGTATTTGAAATCTTGGTGTAGTTTAGCCCCTCCCTCTGCTGGAGGCTTCTTCCTGTTAAACGGGAGTTTTTTCTTCCCACTGTTGCCAAAGTGGTTGCTCGTTGGTGGTCACCTGATTGTTTTTACTATATTATTGTAGGGTCTTTACAATATAAATTGCCTTGAGGCAACTATTGTTGTGATTTAGTGTATAAATACATTTTAAAAAACGAATTGAATTCGATTTAGCAGTAGTTTTTTTTAAATCAGGCTTTCTGTTGAGAATTTTATAGAATTGTTATTTATTCATTTTTAACCTGTTCATTTTATTTTGTTATTTTGTACCTTTTTATTCTCTATTATGACACTTCATGTTCTAATGTATTTCTCTTTTTTGTGTCCAGTCCTTTGTGACTGTCTGTGAAAAGTGCTGAACAAATAAACGTCACTTACTTATAACACAAAAGTAGAATATCTCAATGCCTGAAACAAAGATGTATGTATAGGCATAGATGACGTGCTGAACAGTCATGTCCTGTCTTACATCTTTCTTTCTTTTTACTCATCTCCATGGTGTCACTAGAAGGAATGCCACAATGTAGCACACAAAACATGATCGATCAGATTTACTTGCTTATTAACCAAATATGCACTATGGTGGTTAACACTGTTGTCCTGTTCTCCTCATGTCTGTGAGGGTTCTCTCCAGGTGCTCTGCCTTCCCCCTCAGTACAGAGCCATGTAGATACTGATCTTATGTTAGTTGGTGTGTCTACAGCCCATAAGTGTGAACGATTCTCTCTGCATCAGGGTGCCAACAAACTGGCTATGGTCTACACTCTCAACCTATAGAAGCTTTGAGCACTACATGACAGTGAGGAAGTGGAAAAGGATGGATGATGACTGAAGTAGCTGGAAAACTGTTCTGGATTCTTCCAGCTTACTTTCCACAGCACACAAGCAGAGACACATGAAGTGAAATGCTTTTTATTGTATTGAGCAACCGGTCATCTCATCAAATGTGATGGTTCACGTTTGCATTAATGCAGAGTTCAAACTTCTGTTCTCTATTGTAATATCTTTCAAAACACCTTTGACCCTTTTTGTTTCATAATAGATTTTTGTAACTTGTGTGTTATTCATATTTCCAAATGCATTTTTAAGTTGAATGAATCAATACGCTGAGCTTGTTTGGTCAACAAATAAGCTCCAACACCTTGATGTGGTGAGGTGGCATCTGAAGCTCTTCAGCTCTGTGGCAACATGTTGTGACAGAGCATACAGACAGCCTCAGGACCCGTCTGTATGCTCTGTCACATCAATTTGTTGAAGATATTCTAACAGCTGGATGTCATCGTCAGGTCAACAGTGCACTTTCACAAAATAACTGAGTAATGGACAGAAAAGAAAGTGAGGACATCACAGGTTTCCTTTGCAGTTGCACAAACCAACATCATAATCGTGGATATGTTTGTGATGTTGCTATAGTTACACAATGCAATTTATTAGTTAAATTCAATTTCAATTCAATTTATTTATAAAGCGCCAAATCACAACAGCAGTCGCCTCAAGGCACTTTATATTGTACAGTATATCCTACAATAATAAAAATCAGTGCCACCTGCAGATTACCAATACTAATGAGAATCAGTCTGTGAGAAACGGCCCAGATTCAAACTTGCCCTTCGAGACTTAAGAATTTCCTAATAGCTGAAACTTCCTAACTCTAACTTTTTTCACCAGGGTCAATATTATTATTATTAGTTTTATTGACAGCACACTGATGTGTAATGATGTGCGATAGGTTTGTCGTGCTCAAAATGCTCAAAAACTGAGAGTTATCTTCCAATTTGCACAAATTAAAACAGTTAGGACCCTAACCCTCATATCGTACAGAACAAGCCCGACAGAAGTTGGAAGCTGGGAATTGTAATGAAACTAGAGCTCATCTAAGTGCTGCTTACGTTTGGAGAAATAAGAGTGTGCAACACATCGACCCCACAGTGAAACATGGCGGTGGGAGTATTATGGAATATTATGCTCTGGGCTCAGTGATTGAGGAACTGGGAATCTTGTTAAGGTGGAAGGAATCATGAAGAAAGAAGGACATAATTTTAAAGGAAAACCTGAAGCTGAAAAACTGTGCCTCGGTCATCACTTTGTCAGACATCGCTCCTGATGAATAAGTACGGAAGACAAACGTGAATGTTACTGAACCGAAGACTAACGTCCCCCAGGACCATCAAATCTGAAGGAGCTTGGAAGATTTGCCAAAGAAGAGTAACAACCACAGGCTGATTATTACTGTCAATAATAATGCTGACCCTTTTGTTCAATGTAAGCAGCTAAAATAAAACTATGTTTAAAAAAACACCTTAAAAAAGCTTGCTCTGTTTAACAACACTTCATCTTTCATAGGGGGATAATAACTCCCTCTTTATCTGGAAGAATGTCTATCTTCAATATAATATTGATAATATTATATTGTATTATAATATTTTGAATACTTTGAAGTAATATCTTCAAAGCAGCTTCACCTAAAGAAACTTTCCCCCTCACATCCCTTCAAACTCCATAAGAGACTTGGCTCACCTCTGTCCGGTTACTCACCTGCCCTGTTGATCTCAATGATCTCCTCCTGTGCTAATGGGCAGTCTCCAGTACCCATCATGCTGCCAGATCCCACCATGCCAGGCCCGAGCACATTTCCCATCAACCTGTGAGGAGATGCTGTCGCCATTGCCAGGGCATCTGGCTTGCAATAGTTTGGGCTGCCTGGCTGTGGCGCCCTGGGGATGTGCTTGTTCCTCTTCTTGGGGAGTTTCTGCTTAGCCATGGCCAGGGAGTAGTACATGCCAAAGTTATTGACGATGACAGGCACTGGCATGGCAATCGTCAGCACCCCAGCCAAGGCGCAGAGGGCACCCACGAGCATTCCTGACCATGTTTCAGGATACATATCCCCATATCCCAACGTGGTCATGGTCACCACAGCCCACCAGAAGCCGATGGGGATGTTCTTAAAGTTGGTGTGGGCTGCAGCTGTTGGATCATCTGGGTCAGCACCGATACGTTCAGCATAGTAGATCATGGTAGCAAAGATGAGGACACCTAGTGCCAGGAAGATTATGAGCAGCAGGAATTCATTAGTGCTGGCACGCAGAGTGTGGCCCAGCACACGTAAACCAACAAAGTGGCGGGTCAGCTTGAATATACGTAGGATACGGACAAAGCGTACAACACGCAGGAAGCTCAGAACGTCTTTGGCTGTTTTGGAGGATAGGCCACTCAGCGCCACCTCCAGGTAAAAGGGCACAATTGCCACAAAGTCTATTATGTTCAGGGCACTGCGGAAGAACTCTGCCTTGTCAGGACAGAAGATAACGCGTGCCATCACTTCAATAGTGAACCAGATGACGCAGACGCCCTCGACATACGTGAGCCAGCTGTCTGTGACCACCTCATATACAATCTGCAGAGAAGAAAAGAAGAAGAGAATTTTAGTTGATCTTATTATGTATTCATTACAACAGACACATGTCTGGCTTCTGACAAGTGGTTGTTGACCCAAGAACAACTTTTCTGTGTGACAGCAGCTGTGGTACAAATCCTGGATGGCTTCCTTCTCTGTATCGTATTCACACCATTTTCAGAAAATGGGACCTCTGAACTTTCAATCATCCTCCGTCGCCTTGTGCTCAAGTTATCCTATTGACTTCGGTAATAATACCCCACTGGCTTTTTACGGCTAAGTGTTAGAAAAAAGAGCAAAACATAATGAGCACACGTGCATATTGCCAACAATCTAAAAGTAATTTAAAAAAATTGGTAATTAGTAAAAATGAACACGCTAGCAAAATCCAAATCACTGTTGGGGTTTCAGATAATATATCGCGGTCAGTATTGATGTGCTAAGCCGAGGACGTCTTGCCTGTATGGGCAGTAGGTCTCTTTTGTGACAGAGTGACTGATGAACACTGTCTTACATTGTGCTCAAAGTACTTTACACAATGTGCCACACTCACTCGTTCACCCAAAAGCTATTTTCTACACGCTTTATGTCTAACATTTACACACAATCATACTTCAGTGAACACATCTTGCCCAAAGACACTTGAGACTGGACACTGGGGCAGATTGATTTTCCAATCGGTAGATCACTTGTTGTAACTCCTTAGCTACAGCTATCTGCTTAAGGCAGTTGCTACCACATGGTTATACAAATGTTAGCCAAGTCACAAGCAGCATGTCTTCTTCACCTGTCCCTCCTGCAGATTGGTTGGCGACTCTGTTCTGGTAAACATTAAGCTAAAGCCTGCAGCAAGCATTGCTGATTATCTTCCAAGGCCCAGAGCGTGTGACACTTGTGGTACCCTAAAGGCCCTGGCTAAAAATAAACATAGATTTAGTAAAATGTTGCATTGTTGGGTATCTTGCCAAAATAGTGTCAGATGCTGTAGCTTTCCCTGGCCCTCTCCCATTCAGACCAGGAATATATAGCTGCACGTTATTTTTAAATTGCTGGTGGCCTGAGTGGTGCCAAAGTGCGCTTTATAGATGATTGGGAAAATTTCTTGAAAACCCCGTAGAGCTGAGAGCAGGAAGCAGAGCTTTAGTCTTACACTCTCAGAAGCTTCTCTACTCTCATCAAACCAAAACAAGATAAACAAAACATCACAGCATAGAAATATATCAAGAAAGAACAACGTAGCATCATCAGCTGCAACAAAGGGTAAAAT